TTTTTTTTTACTTTTTATCAATCCAGCATAGATTTTTATTTTAGCACATCAGATATAATGATTGAGATAACTAGATAGTACAGAATTGATCATCACATATACATATATATTATTAAGATGGGCCAATTATTGCATCAAATGTCGTTGTTGGTATTAGTAATGGTGGTTTCTTTGGAAGGATGGCTGTCTCGTAGTTGTTTGGAGGAAGAGAGAATCGCTCTCTTGAAGGTACAATGATTTTAATAGATCAATATTTGAAGGTAATTAAAAATAACACTACATGTTACAAAAACATATTTTATTTGAAAATAAAAAATATATATCCCACGTGTTATTTGAAACTAATAACCATCTTAACTGACTTCTAACAAAATGTTAAATTTTATTTTGAAAATTAGCTTCAACTGATTTAATTAAATTAATAAAAAATTCAATATGATGCTCCTTAAATTGAAACAGAGTTGCATGATTTGAGCACGGTTCTAAACTATAATGATACTTTTGTGTCCTCGGAACAATCTTTGGAGTTTACAACAAAGAAATTAGCCTTAACTTGCCAGGGAAGCATTCTCCAATACTTTACTGGCATTGATCTCTCCAGCAACAATTTTTACGGGGAGATTCCTCCTGAAATTGGAAATCTTGCTGAGATCAAGGTATTGAACCTTTCCCACAACAGTTTGATGGGACCAATCCCATCAACATTTTCAAACCTAAAGGAAATAGAGAGCTTGGATCTTTCCTACAACAAATTGGATGGAACAATCCCTCCTCAACTCACAGAACTATATTCTTTAGAGGTCTTCGATGTGGAACACAATAATCTATCTGGAAAGACACCTGAGAGAGTTGCACAATTTGCCACATTTGAGGAGAGTAGCTACAAGGATAATCCTTTTCTCTGTGGACCACCCCTGCTAAAATCTTGCACTGCAGCAGCATCACCTTCAGCGATGCCAAGAACTTCAAGTGACAAGGAAGAGGATAGTAGCTTCATTGATATGTACATTTTCTATGTGAGCTTTGGGGTTGCTTACTTCATGGTGTTGTTCGTAATGGCTGCAGTTTTGTATATAAATCCATATTGGCGACGAGCTTGGTTCTACTGGATTGAGACAAGCTTCGTATTTGGGTAACTTCGTTTAAAATCTAACACTTTGATCAAGTTATCAATGCTCTGACCATAAACATTCTAGATGTTTCTAAAGTATTTGATTATTATTATCAAAAAATTCATAAACACGCTAGATGTTCCTAAAATATTAGATTATTATTGTCAAGAGATTCAACGAGTTTGTATTACAAAGAAACGAGTTTGTATTACGAAGAGACTTATGTGTTGTTTGGTAACAATAAATAAAATAGTAAAAATATAATTGATATTTAGTTCAAATAAAAAGAAGTAGAAATACAAATGAAGAATGAAAATGATAATAAAAATTAAATATAATTTTATTCCTATAATAAGAGGAGAAAATAATTTTTAAGGAATAAAAATAATTTTTTTCTCTTCAAAATAATAATATATTATTTTTATGTATTATATATAAACTGTTTTTATTATCATCAGTATCTCTATTTTTATTATCGATACCACCATATAGCAGTCATCATTCCCGGTAATAATGATAAAAAAAATTAAAAATAAAGGTTATTGTTTGGTTTTTATATAGGGTCATCATTCCTTTCGAGTCTCAATATCTTGGAAGCTGCCACCACCAACTGATGGTTTGAGAAGACTTGGAAGCTGCCATTATTTAATTTTGGTAGTACCAATCCACCAGATTAGACCCAAACAACACAGTTGAAAAAATTGACAAATTAATTCCAAAAAATGACATTTTGTAAAATAAAAAGAGACAAATTTTCTAAACTCTAAAGTCGTTTATAATCCTCAAAAATCAACAATACTAAAAAGGACAATACTCTTATCTTCCTAAAGAAAAAATTATCTTGAAACAAAATTAATTTTGTAACTTTTTTAATTACAAATTGACTGTACATAAATATAAAATACACTTAATATTTATTTTCTTAAATGAATATTTTAAAATAAATTCCCTCGAATAAAATAACAAAAATTATATTTTAAAAACAACACTCCGATTGTATCATATTTCATAAATAGAGTTTTATACTAATATTATTTATTATTTTGAGAATATATATATATATATATATAATTAAATTTTTCATCAATATTATAAAAAATTATTTTAAATGTTAAAATTTTTATCTAAGTTTTTTTAAAGAATTAATTATTGCTTTGTTTTCTCGATACATTCTTATAAAATAAATAATTAAACTTATATATATTTTTTAGAATTTCTTATAAATTAAAACTTGTGTTTTAAATTATTATAAATTTTTATTTAAAAATTCATGTATGACAAAAAAACTTTTTTTAAGAAAGAAATCTTTTAAAAAACATAAAAAAGAATTAATTAAATACAAAAATTGTGATTAGTATAACTTAGAGTTTGCAGAATAACTCTTTCAAAGATTAGATATTTTAAACATTTTTGATACAGATAACATCTAGACAGAATTTGATGAAATAATATTTGAAAAACATTAAAAAAAAAAAATCAATCTTAAAAGCAATTTTAAAAAATGCAATTCTGAACAAAAGTTCAGTGCTTGACTTCAAGTCAAAGTCTTCTTGGGAAAAAAGATAATTATGCCATAGAGGACCGCCAACTGAGGTTTTGAGAGACTTGGACAATTATGCCATTATTTAATTTTGATAGTACCAACCCACCAGGTTAGACCAACCACCTTGACTGAGAAATGTAAACTGCAAACAGCTGGAAAATTAAAATTTTGTTGGTACTAATAATGGTTGTTTGGAGGAAGAGAGAATTGCTCTAATTTGAAGAAAACAATTAAAATAAATTAGTCCTTTAGTTTCAAGAAAAAAATAATTAACCTACATTGTTTTAAAAATTATTATTTAATTCATATTTAATTTAATATTATTTTTATTAAACAAAATGTCTTATTTTGACATATATTTTTTTATTTTAAAATAAATTAAAAAGAAAGAAAAAAGATTAAAGTATAAATATATTTTAAAATATAAGAATTACATAATTAATTTTTAAAATAAAAGAGACTAATTAATTTGTTTTTCAAAACAAGAATGCTTAATTTATAATTTACTCCAAAAGACATACTTTATAGATAAAATTCTGAAAATGGAGTGTGAGGACCAGCTATAAGTCTAAAAAAATTTAGAATTATTAGTTTGCTGTGTGGAAAATCATGTCATTTGAATGAAAAAAATTAATTTTTCATTAATGATTTTATAAATTTTTTTCCACATAATGGGTCCGAAATACTTGCAATCATTCAATTTTTTTTCTCACGATATGGATCCCACCCGAGACCATCAATGTTTTATCAACGCGTACGTAAACCAGGCAGTCCTCCTATAAAAGCCTACACCTCCTTACTGCCCAGTGCAAGAGATAGACAAACTAGCTAGTACAGAATTGATCATCACATATACATATATATTAAGATGGGCCAATTATTGCATCAAATGTCGTTGTTGGTATTAGTAATGGTGGTTTCTTTGGAAGGATGGCTGTCTCATGGTTGTTTGGAGGAAGAGAGAGCTGCTCTCTTGCAAATCAAACATATTCTTGATTTTCCAACTCGCACATCCCTGCCCTCTTGGAGAGAAGATGATGCTGACTGTTGTAGTTGGCAACGGATCGAGTGCAATGTCACTACAGGGCGAGTTACTCTCATTGACCTGTCGTATGCAAGGGATTTGGAATTGGGAGATTGGTACCTAAATGCCTCTTTGTTTCTTCCCTTTGAAGAACTCAACGATCTTTCTCTATCTAGAAATGGGATAGTTGGTTGTGTTGAAAATGAAGGTTTGCCTCTTAACTAACTGCATTTGTTGTAATTTCAATAGAAATTTGAATATCTAGAAACTGAAATGCAATTTATTTTTGAAATTGATCAAATAATTAGTTTTCATTTTCAAACACAAACTACTAACTAAAATTCTCCTGCAGGTTTTCAAAAACTATGGAAACTTGACAATTTGGAGATTCTCGATTTAGGTGATAATAATTTCAACAATACCAGCACCCTAATATCATCTCTAAGTGGGCTTTTATCTTTGAAATCATTATATCTGAACAACGTTGGACTCAAAGGATCAATTAATATTCATGGTGAGTAATTTAATTTTTTTCCTCAAAGACCCACACAATAATAATAATAATAATAACTAATTCTGCACATGCATGGACAGATTTGAATCGCCTAAGAAACTTGGAGGTTTTGGATCTTAGAGGAAATGAAATTGAAGGTTTCAAATCCTATCATGGTATGAAATGGTTATTTCATCACTATATTAATTATTTGTTTTTTGATTCAAAAAATTCAAATTGATCGCATAAACTATATATATCGTCTCTTATATGGTATTGTTTTTACAGGTGGTGAAAAACTATTGACATTGAATAATTTGAAGTATCTTGGGTTAGATAATAATCGCTTCGATAACAATATTCTATCGTCTCTTAAAGGGCTTTCATCTCTCAACTATCCGAACATAGCTTATAACAGAGTGAAGAGATTAATAAATTTAAAAGGTTAAACACATCTTCTCATATTTTATGTTATGATACATATATTTTTCAATTTCTAAAATAAACATAATTTTAAGTAATTTTGGTGTAAACTAATTACATTAGTTTTGATGTATATCAAGAATTGGATGCTTTAAGCAACTTAGAGGAGCTGGATTTGAGCGGAAACGATATTAAGAAATTTATAGGCTCAAAAGGTAATTAACCAATATCTTCACACTACTCCCTTCTTTTTTCTTTCTTTTTTTTTTTTTTCTATTTTTTGAAATAGTTTTTTCCTCTGACTTGTAGGTTTGCGCAACTTGACCTTTCTTGCGCTAAATAATATCACAAGCTATGGAAGAAGCGTTCAATTACTACAATCATTAGGAGCTTTCCCAAACCTTACCACACTTTATCTACGTTACAATGATTTTAATGGATCAATGTTTAAAGGTAATTAAGAATAACACTACATGTTACAAAAACATATTTTATTTGAAAATAAAAAATATATATTTTTTTATTTTAATACCCTTAGGCTCTTTTTAGGTCTCTTTCATTATTAAGTTATAAATTAGCTGACACGTTAGTGATCTTCCATACAAGTGGCATCCTACCTTCTCAAGGTAAACTAACAAATGTCAACTCTACATTTACTTATCGATGAGCTTTTAGAGCATAAATTTATCTTTGAATATTAGTATCATAGATTATTCTCTTATCTTTGACCCGTTCAAGTAATAGCGTTTTTAGATTTCCTGCATCACTTTACGTCTTGAACAATACTATTCTGTTCTGGTTTTCAAAAATATAACCATGGGAAACTCTCATTATTTTTTATTCTACTGGGATGCAAAGTTGATCCTTCTTAAAACCCTAATACACTATCGGTTTCATGCTTGCTAAAATTGCATGTTTTTGTGCGTGGATTTGATAATTTATTTATAATATCCATGTTTTTCTTTTGATATTGATGCGCTCACAGCCTCGTCCCAGTCGTTAAACTTATTTAATTTTCCTGTTTGATTGATTATTTCAGGCCTGCCTAATCTCAAAAATTTAGAATTCTTGGATTTGGATTCCTCTACTCTCAACCACATCTTCTTGCAAACCATTGGAAGATTTCCCTCTCTTAAGACTTTAAATTTGTATAATTGTGGACTCAGTGGCACCATACCTGCAGCCCAAGGTAACATTGATGACCTCTTTCTCTCTCAAGGTGACATCTTTTTCATTTGACACACAATAGTTTTAAGTTTCCCTAAATTATTATTTCTCAGGTTTGTGCGAGTTACAACGTCTCCAAGAGCTAGATTTGAGTTCCAATGATCTCAGTGGTAACTTGCCTCTGTGTTTGGCAAATTTGACATCCCTTCGAGTGTTAGATCTCAACTTCAATCACTTTATTGGAGATATTTCCTTATCTCCCTTAAAGAGTCTCAAATCCATCCAAAGCTTGGGACTTTCAGACAATCTTTTTCAAATCCCCTTTTCATTGAGTCCATTTTTCAACCATTCAAAACTTGAGGACTTTGATGGTTCAAATAATGACATACGTGCAGAAGAAGAGGCTCATATTTTGACTCCAAAGTTCCAGTTGCAGTCTCTCCAATTGGGTGGTAGAGGAAACGGTAGAGCATTTCCCAAATTCCTTTACCATCAACACAACCTCCAATTTGTTAATCTTTCAAACTTGAACATAGAAGAAGAGTTTCCAAACTGGTTGTTGGAGAACAACACAAACCTACGATTTCTCTTTTTAGCCAATAATTCCATCTCAGGCCAATTCCCTTTGCCGACTCACTCTCATGTGAATTTGTTAGACTTAGATGTCTCCAAGAATTACATCCAAGGCCACATTCCAGCAGAAATTGGAGCTTATTTGCCAAGGTTAGAAGCTTTGTCTATGCATGATAATGGTTTCAGTGGAAGCATTCCCTCTTCATTTGGCAACATGAGCTGGTTGTCTTTTTTAGACTTATCAAGTAATGTTTTGACTGGCAGAATACCTGAGCATTTAACCATAGGTTGCTCTAGGTTAGATACTCTCATTCTTTCAAACAACAGTTTGCAAGGCCAGATTTTTTCTCGAAATATTAACTTAAAATCCTTGACATGGTTACAATTGGATGGCAATAAGTTCATTGGAGGCATCCCTGATAGCTTATTTAATTGCTCCCACTTGACAATGTTGGATGTCAGCAACAATTCTCTTTCTGGAAGGATCCCGGGATGGATGGGGAATATGTCTTCTCTTGAATTTTTAGACCTTTCACAAAACAGTTTCTCTGGCATTCTACCCTCAAGCTTCATTTCTTCCACAGTGAAGTATGTTTATTTGTCTAAAAACAAATTGCAAGGGTCAATTGCAAGTGCATTTCATGATTGCGTAGCATTGTTGGCATTAGATCTTAGCCATAACTGCTTAACTGGGAGCATTCCGGAGTGGATTGATAGGTTATCTGTGTTGAGATTTCTTCTTTTGAGTTATAACAATCTCCAAGGTGAAATTCCTATTCAATTATGCAAGTTGGACCAATTAAGTTTGATCGATCTGTCTCACAATAATCTTTCTGGTCACGTTCTCCCTTGCCTCATCAGATCTAATAGCAATTTTTTTAAGAAACAAGAAACTGTTTTACATTACAGTATGTTAGCTGCTCCTGAATCCTCACAACAATCGTACAGTATGACAGCTGCTCCTGAATCCTCACAAATATATTACGGTATGGCCTCTGCTCCCTCTGCTCCTGAATCCTCACAACAATCTTTCGAGTTCACAATGAAGAATGTATCCTTATCTTACAAAGGAAGCATTCTCAAATACATTTCTGGAATCGATCTCTCATGCAACAATTTGACAGGCATGATTCCTCCTGAAATTGGAAACCTTAACAAGATTAAGGTATTGAATCTTTCCTACAACAGTTTGATCGGACCAATACCACTAACATTTTCAAACTTGAAGGAAATAGAGAGCCTAGATCTTTCCTATAACATGTTGGATGGAAAAATTCCCCCTCAAATGAGGGAATTATATTCTCTAGCTGTTTTCAGCGTGGCACACAACAATTTGTCGGGCAGAACACCTGACAGAGTAGCACAATTTGCTACATTTGAGGAGAGCAGCTACAAGGATAACCCTTTTCTTTGTGGACTACCGCTGCCAAAAAGCTGCGAACCATCAATGCCACCATCACCAACACCGATGTTATTGAACAATGAACATGGTGGCTTCATTGATATGGAAGTTTTCTATGTCAGTTTTGTGGTGACTTACATAATAGTGGTGTTGGGCATAGGTGCAGTTCTGTACATAAATCCATACTGGCAACGAGTTTGGTTTTACTTCATTGAGGTGAGCATCACTACTTGCTACTATTTTCTGGTGGACAATCTTTCTGTCTTATCCAAATTCAGATTTTAATGGCCTTGCCTTGATCCGGCTTTGCCTTGCTGTGTCTTTTCTTTTTCTTGCCTCCCAGTTTCAAGATTTAATCAGGCAGTTCGAATCAAACATGTAAAATATTTACGTGTGGATTGGGTTATTTTACCAGTTGTAATGTTTTTCCTTTTGTTTTCTTTGAAGAAATCATTTCTGTACAATGACAATAATTTTATATCCAATAAGTTATTTTACCACTCTATCAGGGATTGGGTTTGATGAAAACTGTTCTTTATTGAGTTTTGATCCCAACTTAATACAATGTAAACAGCAAAATTAGCTAGTACCATGGATAATTGATCTAATCATAAAATGAGATTGAAAAAAAAAGGCAAAACCTCTTATTTTTTGCAGTTGTTTTGTCAATAATTTAATTACACCATTATCTCAAACATTTATTTAGAAAAAGGACCTTAGAAACACCTTCAAATCATCGTATTAAAAAGTAGCTAGTAATATCTGATTTTTAGTATAGTTTTATCCAATTGGTTACTGTCATTGGGCTTTTCCATGAAGTTACCATATATTCAAAAACACCTTAAAATCATCGTAAGAATATTCAAAAACCATTTAAACTTCAAAAACACATTTTAATCCAATCTGAATTCTTTAAAAAAAAAAAAAATCCAATCAAATCCAATAACCTAATTTTCTTCTCGGAATGGATCCCTCTCTTCCAATCATTTGGGATGCTAAAAGCATCATCAAATTGGATGCTTAGGAATTATAGTTTCTATGTGAAATTTAGGCCTACTCCAAAATATTTCAAGTTGCCATCAAAATAAAAGGTTAAAACATTAAGGTGAAAAAAAGAGAGGAAAGATATAGAAGTGTAACCTCTACTTCCTTCCGTTCAGCATTTTCTTTCATTGTCCCAAATCGCTGCTTAACAGTCATGAATAGAACCTTTCCTATTAACCACGGGAGCTCAGAGTAATAAACTGCTCGTGCAGAAGTTCCATCAGATCCCACCCAAGGTTCATACATGACTGCATCTAAAAGCCAGGTGCTAAGCATTGCTTTCATTGATATCCATTCTGGGAGTGAGCAGAAATCAGCGTCCAAATCAACAAAACCATCTTCCTTTAAACGTTCAATGGTAAAACACTTGGACTTGCAGCTATAAAGGAAATAGGTTCAAGTCTTGAGAACAACCTTAAGAATAGTAAAGGGTAGGACTGTCTCTAAATTCTTCATTTGCCGACGGCACTTCAATGGTTTAAGCATGTCTCCTGTTATTTAATAAAGGTTTAAGCAACTGAAGTTTCAATTTCTTCACAAGAGTCAGTACATAAAAAAAAAAAACAAGTAAATGAAGAATGTGAAGAAAAACACACTCTTTATTCATGTAAGGCAATCAGCAAGAATATAAAAAACTGGCTGTCATTTCTTGTCAACCAAAAAACCAATATCCATCAAACATAGTCCTGGTCGTGCAAATCCAATCTTGAATACTAATTACTTAACTCCTTGGCCGCATTTATTCCACACCCCACCAGACACCAAGACCCAAAATGAACTAAAATTCTAAAGTAACTTAGGGAAACAAAACCGTGAAATTTAAACACCGTTACAGAGCCA